AGATGGTCGTCGCAATATCCACCGCCAACGACCCATTTCTTGCAGTACGTGTACGAGCATTTCTTTCCTCCGCCGTGACCCTTACAATAACCACCTCCACGCTGGATCGCGCTGCATCCTTCCTCCTTACATCTGGTGCCTCCGCCGTGTCGAATGCAAAATCCTTTGCCTTTTTGCGTGTTGGTGCAACCTTCGTATTTGCACAACTTACCGCCTCCGTGAGACTTGCACAGCTTCCGGTTCTGTGCGGCGCGATCACAGTTGGGTACACTGCATAGGACTTTACCACCGTGACCTCGACAGCGCTTGTTCACCTGCCGAATCTTGTTGCAGCCTTCGATAATGCACTTCCTACCACCACCGTGAGCAATGCAGAACCCCCCGCCAAGATCGTATTTCGTGCATCCCAGCATCTTGCAACGCTTACCGGGACCTTTGTGTTCCAGACAGATACCCCCGCCAAGTGCCCAGTTCTTGCAGTTTTCAATCTCGCATTTTTTGCCACCGCCGTGAGCTTTGCAGAAGCCACCGCCTCGATCCACTTTCTTGCAGTCCTTGGCATTACACTTCTTGCCACCACCGTGAGAGATGCAGAGACCGCCGCCTATATCGCGTTTCTTACAGCCCTCGTGTTGACAGAATCGACCGCCTCCGTGAGCCTTGCAATATCTGTCAAGCAAATAACGTTAGTAGTTGCTATGATAGCAAAGTCACAGGCAAATACACGCACCCTCCTTCCATCCTCTTGTTCTCGCATCCTTCAATAGGACACAGAGGTTTCCCGCCATGCCCTGAACAGTAGCCATAGCCTTGGACATGCTTTTCGCAACCTTCGTACTTACACTTCTTGCCGCCACCATGTTTAATGCAGAAGCCATTTCCCTGGTTATATTTGTTGCACTTGGGATGTTTGCAGAACTGGCTGACCTTGTGAATGGCACAGCGTCCATCCAGCCCCGTGGCAGCACGCTTACATCTCTCGCGCTCTTTGTTGTAGTATCTGCAGGTTTTCTTGGTCAAAACGAAGTTGTCGATCGCTTTAGCAGCCGGAGTCTTCTCCACGCGTCGATTCTGAGTCGAATCTGCTCGCACACGCGCAGACGATAGCTGCAACACGCCGGTGACTGCAGCAGCGGCCTCCTCCGCCTCCGCTTGGGCTGCTGCGACAGCGTCCTCTGCCTCCGTATCTGTGTCCTTATGCTCCTGCTCCGCCTGAGCCAATAGCATCCTTGCAAACTCAGCTCCGTCATGGTCGATCTCCGGTAGTCCGTCGGGTCCCACAAAAGACGTTCGGAAGTCCAGCTCCGAGGACTGCGCGGTCGACAGATCAGCTATGGTCGTCAAATAAACGCACGATACGGTCAGTACACTATTAGCACATCGTCGTAGTGATATAAACTAAAGCGGTAAATTGCTACGAACGCATTGAAGCCTGAATATTGGCGTCGTCTGGCCGCATGCCGCGCAGGAACCGCAGATAGTCGTTCTCGCGCTCGTCAGAGGCGTCCATGGCTCAGTTCAAGCGAGGTATGGTGCGATAGGTGGTGAGTAAGATTAAGCGGTGGTCTGGGAACGTGGTGCAAGGTCTGTTTCGATGTTGAAGACGTCCAGAGCGACGTGAATGAGCGTCGTGGATGAAGCAACGCCAACCTTCTTCGTAGTGTGTCCCGTCAATTGACGTCGCTTATCATTGGTAGATTTTTTAATTTCAACACAACGCTTTCATGAAAAACTTCATATTTACAACATTTTGATTGGCTGACCGAATACGCTTTTCGCTCCTCCAGTCAATAAAGTCTTATTGTTGGTCAATCCCGAAGAGCTCTAGCTAGACGTTGGTGACCATGGCGACCGCGGCGGAGATCAAGCAGCTGGAAGCGAAGATCAAGGAGGATGTCAAGCAGATCAATGAGCTGCCCAAGGTGGTGAAGGCTCTGCAGCACAGCGACAAGGCGGTGGCGCAGGCGGCCATGCAGAGCATGCGACGTGTGTTACTCTTCTTCCTTGAAAAGGGTGACCTCAAGCCCAAGCCCACCCAACAGGAGGCGGCCAAG